CAGCCACCCCACTGCAGCCACCCCACTGCAGCCACCCCACTGCAGCCACCCCACTACAGCCACCCCGCTATAGTCACCCCGCTACAGCCACCCCACTGCAACCACCCTGCTGCAGCCACCCTGCTGCAGCCACCCCGCTATAGTCACCCCGCTGCAGCCACCCTGCAGCTAGCACTTTCCTGTTCTCATCTAGAGAGAAACCAGAATCTTCTAGGCCCCTCTAGCCCTTCCAGACTGTGCTGTGGGTTCTGTGGGTGTCATTCCCAAGTGCCTAGCAAACACCGCTGTAGTGGCCCAGCCTGGGTCAGCTCACTACCTGTGTCCGTTTCTCTTGCCTTTTCCCAGGACTCCATGACTCTGTGAGAACCCACGAGGTCATATCTCGCTTCTGTGTCGGAATCATACACGGCGATTTGCTTCAAACCTGTGTTTGCCAACAAGCGTGCCGCAGAGCAAGTGATCCCAGCACCTCTCTTCCCTACCAGGCCCCTGACGCTCAGCCAAAACAACAAGTTTGAGTAGGTGAAGAGTAACCTGGGATACAGGGTCACCTCTATACTCTCTGGGGAGCAGGCTAGGGAAGAGCCACAGGGCATGGTTCTAGAGGGGGCAGGTTTGCCCACAGGTAGGGCAGATGCGTGGCCTCCAGTCACCTCTTTTGTCCACCTGCCTTGTGTTCCATGTTGTGTCAGGGAGTCGCAGCTTGGCTGCAGCAGTTTCTATGACCAGCTACAGCAGAGCCAAGCTTGTCCCTATTGGAGAACAGAGCTCCAGGGCACCTGGCAGGGACAAAGGGGTGGGCTCTCTAGTCAGTCCTCCACACTGACCTTCCCAAGAGAGGGAGGCATCAGCCCCAGATCCCTGCAGATGCACCCAATCAGGCCATGCTGAGCCTGACGATGCTGTACAGGGGCTGAGCCCAAACTCCTACATCTCACGCCCTCCTCCTGACCCCAGCACAGGTGAGGCTTACACCCCTGATGAGGGGAGAGTGGGTGGACAGGTTACAGGAGTCTCCCCTGCCTGACCTAGGAATTCCACTACTCAAGGTCCGGGCATCTAGACAACAGGGGCTCCCCGGTCCTAATGCAGCACCTACCCATGGTCACCACACAGTCTTTTCCAGCAGCCAGGGACCTATGGGCCAAGTAGGCTTTGGTCTGGAGGGAGAGAGTCCCAGGAGTGCCAGTGCCAGGGTTCTGAAGCAGGACCCAGACTAGCCGGCTCCAGGCACACTGGTTCCAGGAAAATTCCTACAGTTGACAAGCTAATTCAGGACCTTGCTCAGAAGCCTCCGGTCAGCCCTGAGTAGTTCACCGCAGACGCAGGGAAAACACAAGAGCCCAAGTCAGATGCTTGCTTTCTCGGCAGCACTAGCACCCAGTGCCCAGGATGATGACAAGCAGAAAGGAGCCCGTTGGCACCAAGAGACCAAGCTGTAAACTCAGAGGGCCCAGAGGAGAAGCATGCAGCAGGCCCTAATCCACTGGAGCCTAGATAAAGGGAACAGGTCTCCATGGAAACGGATCCTCTGGCCCAGCCCATCTGAGAGACCTGCCCGGCCTGGAGGGCATGCTGGCCAGCACTACAACAAACCTGTACCTGGGAATCCCGCAGACCAAGCAAGGATTCCCCCCTCCTCAATTGGTGTGACTCCAGGAACTCCCAGATCGAGAGACTCCCAGAGGGAGAGGCCACTGTGTGACTGACTGTAGTTCCCACCTGTCAAACGACAGAGGGGACCAACCAGACATTCCACCATCCCAACCACAGGCCATCCTGGAACCCCCCTGTTCTTGAGACTTGCCAAGGAAGAAGACTAAACGCCACAGCTGGCATGGGAAATGGTTGTGCTTGCCACTGCGCTGTGATGTCATGCTGCCACTGCGCTGTGATGTCATGCTGCCCCTGCGCTGTGATGTCATGCTGTCCCTGTGCTGTGATGTCATGCTGTCCCTGCGCTGTGAGGTCATGCTGTCCCTGCACTGTGAGGTCATGCTACCTCTTTGTCCAGGGAGAAATGCTGCCTTGCCTCATTGCTTCGTATCCCTTTGCTAAGTACCTCTACATATCACGCTTTAGCTCCTCAAAGGTCCCCATGGGACTGCCTCCCACTCAGAGGCCCACTGTTTGCCCCTAGTATCCAACAGAGACTGTGGAGCATGGTGTCCAATTCAGGCCTTTGCAGAACATGGGGTCCAGGCAGTCAGTGACCAGCACAACCCATATCTACAACATCCCACAGGGAGGGAGGCATCAGCCCCAGATCCCTGCAGATGCACACCCAATCAGGCCATGCTGAGCCTGGCGATGCTGTGCAGGGGCTGAGCCCAAACTCCTACATCTCACTCCCTCCTCACGCCCCAGCATAGGTCAAGGTTACACCCCTGATGAGGGAAGGGTGGGTGGACAGGTTACAGGAGTTTCCCCTGCCTGACCTAGACTTCCACTACTCAAGCTCCGGGCCTCTAGACAACAGGAGGCCAGGTGGCCAAGAGGATGAGCACCTTGGGCAGTCAGCGCACATGCGGAGTGAAGATGGCCTCTCAAGAGGGGAGAAGGGCTCTCTTCCCTCAGGGACTGTAGGTCCATACTCCACCAACACGTGCACAGTCCCCTTAGAGAGCAGTGGAGGGGAAGGTCACTGGGACACTTCAAACACCACCCACCACTGAGCTCCCATCCTGGCTACCAGACACCAGCCCATTATGGCTGTCCCAGCCTCTGCACTCACCTCCCCCTGATCACACATATATGGCATGACTCTGAAGACTAAAAAAAAAAACAAAAAAACAACAAAAAAACAAAAAAAAAAAAAAACACAAAAAAAAAACAAAAAACTGACAAAAAAAAAGAAAAGAAAAGCACAAAAAAAAAAAAAGAAAAATAAAAAAAAAAAAATAAGAAAAAAAAAAAGAAAATAAAAAAGGAAAAAAAAAAAAAGTAACTAATGAACAAGTTAAATAAAAAAAAAAATAAAAAAAAAAACAAGAACAAAAGAAACAAAAAAAAAATAACCAAATAAAAAAACAAAAAAAAAAACAAAAAAAATAAAAAAAAATAAACAAAAAAAAATAAAGAGCAAAACAAAACAAAAAAAAAGTCAGAAAAAAGAAAAAAAAATGAGAAAAAAAAAAAAATAGAAAAAAAGAAGAAAAAAAGAAAAAAAAAAAAGACAACAGAGTCATGCCATATATGTGTGATCAGGGGGAGGTGAGTGCAGAGGCTGGGACAGCCATAATGGGCTGGTGTCTGGTAGCCAGGATGGGAGCTCAGGTCCCCAAGCCAACATGTGTAGGCTGTCAGCTCAAGTGTCCCCAGTATGCCCCCCACACGGCATACTTACAGTACCCACACCTGGTCCCGCCTTCGAAGATGAATCCATTTGGCACGGCCCCGTAGCGACGGAGATCAGACAGTTTCCACTGCCCCATGACGGCTGGAGGGATGTCTCTGGCCAGGACGAGGATGTCATTGCAGAGGTGGAGAGTGGCTGGACCACTCTCCAGCTTGGTACCAGGAGCTACTGTCACATGGAACCTATGCACTGAGGGCAAGACAGTGGGCAAAAGGGCATTACCAGGGGTTGGTTGAGGTGGGAGAAGTATCCCCGGGTCAGACTGGTGAAGTGCCCTCGCTGCCACTCAACCAAGAATGAACGGCAAATGTCGGGAAGAGCTAAGGATGTCCATGGGCCCCACTTACATCCTGCCCAAACTCCAGGGTCTTCCGTAGTCAGAGGCAGGCGAATCCACAGAAGGCAATGACTACTGCCTAGCCCTCCCCAACATATTGAGGGCAGGTCCCAGGCACTAAGGCCACTCCTTGGGGACCCTTCCCATCAAGTCAGCCAACGTGGCCCAGTTTCAGAAATGGGAAAGCAAAGTTCAGGAGGTCCCACATCAGAGTGTGGAATGGAGTATGTTCCATCCTGTATTCAGAGTAGGAGGTCATGATTGACAGGTCTCCCTGAGACTAGTATGGCTCAGAGGCTTCTAGATGCTGCCGTGGTCCTGCCCACTAATTCAGCTCCGTCCTTTGCCTCGAAAGCCAGAAGTCAGTCCCCTCCTCCCCACCCTCCTAGATGGCTCAGTTCAGAAGGCAGCTCATGCGTGTGAGCCAGCATCAGCCTGCCCACCTGCACTGCCCATGCACCAATCCCCTGTCCACTCCATCTCCAGACCCCAGAGCCAGAGGAAGCCTCATAATGATGCTACCTAGTCCCCTTCTAAGCTGTGGCCTTGGGTCTGTCCTACCCCACCCTTGGGTCTCCAGTTCTCTTTTGACATCTATGGAGAGGCCTGGGAAGCTCGCTGCTTTGTGGGATGGCCTTGCTCTACCCGGATTGGGGAGGGGCTGCAACCAAGCTGTGAATCACCACCAGGAAACTCTCCAGAAAGATGAGAGCTTCTACTCTAATATTGCCTGCTCTGTACCCTCGCTGCACTGCCCACTCCACGGCTCTAGGACTGTCTGCCAGGAGCCATTGTTCTTGGATAGAGCTTCCACCTTGGCTGCCTAAAACTCAGTACTCATCATCATCATCAACATTGCGTGTGTGTGCCTGTGTGCGTGTGCGTGCATGTGTGCATGGGGGGTGCAAATGCACATGTGCCGCAGTGTGCCTGTGGGGACCAGAATATAATTCTGGGGAATCAGTTCTCTCCTTCCACCCCGAGCCTCTAAAGTTCAACCCCAGTGGCTCCCTCTGCATGGGTTCTTGGATGGCACAGAACACATGGGACATGATGGGAAAGGTTGTGGCTACCTTGGCTAGATAAGGGTCCCAGTTTTAACAAGGCCATTTTAGGGGCCTCAAAGGGCTATGGCACTGGCCCCCAGCCTGAGCACCCCAAGGGCCCTCTTGGCTCTTTCACTCAGAGACATGCACTCATTTTCATCATTTCTACGAGATTCCCTGGGGTCTCATCCACCTCTGCAGCCCACATTGACGAAGTGCCCCGAACTCATGTCACTTACCCTCGCCCAGTGCGTAGCGGATACGGGTGTCCCAGGCACACATGGCCTCATGGCTATCGAAGCCCAGCATGACGGCCTGCGACAGGCAGATGATAGCCAGAGTGTGGGCCAGGCCCTCATAGGGCAGGGCAGGTTCCAGGCCACAGATGTCCTCCAGGGTGAGACTGCTGCGCTCCCGCAGGCCCTTGGTGCGCTCACACCTGTCCTTGTAGACCAGCATCAGCAGACAGTCTGTCCAGACAGGCGAGAAGCCATCAGGGTGCTACCGCCACTGTTCACCGTCACCACCCTTTACCACGGTCCCCAGGAGGCCACAGCACTGCTGGACAGAGACTAGGGTTTGAGGCTGGCCACGAACAAATGACTTACCTAGACCAAAAGAGCCACAGGACAAGAGCAAGCCCAGCCTACCCCTGCTCTGGGTGTGAGGGTACCAGATATCCATCCCGTCAGGACCCTAGGGCCCACTCCTAGCCCGTGCTTTTGGCCCCCTTTTGCCCAGCCTGTGGTATGGAGAGTGTGCCTAATCTGGCCACAGCGCAGAGGACTGCTTCTCCACTCCCAGGTCCTCCAGAGCAGAGGCATCTTGACACTCCACTCCAGATGGTTCCCATCTGTCTTGGTGTTGTCCACACTGCCACTGCACTGCACCCAGGGGTGTCATCCCCACGGGGCCTCAGGCAGATCTTCCTGGGGAAGCTAGGTAGCCTGATGGAAGCCATGCTCAGACCTCCCTCCCCTTTACTGCACTATCAGCCTCAGTCAGAAGCCTCAGTCGGAAGGTCCCCCAGCTGCCAGGCCTCCACACAGCAGCACAGGGACCACAGGATGACTCCCTATGAGGTGGGTGTAGGCTCATGGGCCCAATGCAAACACCTAAATGCTCCATGTGAGGCAACCCCAAAGAGCATGTGGCACCCAGTGAATGGATATATTGGTCTGTCTACACCAAGGAGAGGATGGAGAACGCCCCACGAAGACCACAGAGCAAAGCTTTTGACCCTCTGAAAGCAAGATATTTCTGCAAACAGTCTCACCAAAACTATACGACAACTCAGATCCCAACGGGGACTCCCAGAGCCTCTGGTGTTTTCATTTCTTCCCTACCCAGAGCCTGAGAACCGGGACCAGGGAGGCTGATAGCAGCTAGCTTTCTACGAGATCTACAAAGTCTCTTCCTCTGCTACCCAACAGGGACCTGCAGTGGGCAAGCAGCCGGGCAGCACGCTCATCAGTAGGCACAGCTGTGTGCCATCTACCAAAGCAAGGAAGGGAAGGCAGAAGAGCCAGGAGCTGGCGTCCAGCCTCAGCTGCTCAGACCTTATCTCCAAAAGCAACTAGGCCCTCAGCTTCCGGTCTGTGGACGGAGATGTGAGCCCTCAGTCCCTGCGCCAGCACCAGACCTGCCTGCTGTCATGTCCTCACCACCATGGCCGAGGACTCGTATCCCCCTGAAACTGGGGTTAAAGTTAAGGGATTGTCTTAAGTCTCAGGTGAGATGTGGGACTCTGGGCTTTTAAGCAGTGCTGGGACTAAAAGAGATGGGGACTTCTGAAGCTGGACTAAATGTATTTGGTATTACAGTACTGTCACAGTGTGTAGGGGTCAGAGACTGGAGTGTGGTGGTTTGAGTAAGAATGGCTCCCATAGGCCCAGATGTTTTAACACTTGGTCTCTAGTTGGTGGGTTATGTCTTGGAGGTGTGGTCTTGCTGGAGAAAGTATGTCATATGTCATATGTCACTGGGGGGTGGGCTTTGAGGTTGCTGTTTGTGGAGGTAGCTGTGAGCGCTCAGCTTGTGCTCCAGCTCCACCTGCCTGCCTGCTGACACGCTCCCCACCATGATGGTGACGGACTGCTATCCCTCTAACCACAGCACCAGATAAACCCTTCCTTCTGCTGAAACAACGAACAGGGTGGGGGCTTCCACTTACTGTCCTGGAACTTGTCCATTGTTTATAACATAAAAAGCAGGAAGTCATTCCCAACCAGGGGAGAAAAATTTGCAGAAATCCACCTGCTACCTCAGGGAATCTGGCTCAGTTTCTCTCAGACACAGGTGAGGAGGGCCTAGACTCACTGCCACAAAGCAAGAGGGCCCAGAGACAAGCAAACCCAACAAGGCAACAAAAGCAGAATGTGTCCCCCAAAAGTGTACCCAAACATACCCGAGAAATGAAAGCCCAAGGGACATACATGGGGGTCCACAAAGGAGATCATGGGAACAATGAGGGTGAGCATAGCCAAGGCCCTGTACGTCTCCAGTGTCAGGTTGGCAGGGGCAAAGGACACGCCCTTCCTCCTGTCAACTTGTGTCTGCAGACTTGTGTCTGAGACTGCAGGCCCCCACCTGTACCAATGCCGTGAAGACCGAAGGTGGGAAGGGGTAAAGACCCCACATGTGGTGGGTGCTTAACATGTGCTCACACATCCCACACCACTTCCACCTGCAGCCCACCTGGATGTCTGCTGGGCTCTGTGAGATGTGGTCAGCGTGTATCAATGACACCCTGGCTCCTTTCACCTCTCAGGTCCCTGGCAGGCAGGATTCCCCAGGCCCTTCCTCCCGAGAGTCCACCCTGCTGGTAGTAGCATCTGAGCCAATGTCCTGCTTCTGCTGCTGCCCTCTGAGAATGACCTTGCTACCCACCCCAACCCAGTCCATACACTGGCCCGGCCTTCAGGCCTCAGTGCTGCCGCCCTGCTGACCTGCCCAGCCCCTGCCAGGGCTCACCTACAGGCCACCCCAGGCTAATGCCCCTGACCATGCCCCTCATGTCCTACTCCACCTCTGCAATGCCAGCATCTGTCAAAATCAGCATCTACGCCCTCTTCTAATTCCTTAAGTGCCAACCTTTACCCGTGCTAGCATAGAAGAGAGTCGGACATTCATCCGGGAACAGCCTGCTGCTTTAGGGACAGCAAATTGTCACCCACTTTGTTCAAAAAGCTAATGCTCCCGATGATAGCATCAAGAATGGTGTCATAATTTTTTTTTAAATACCAGACAGTAAATACCTTAGCTTTACAGGGTGGCAGCTCCATCACGACCGCCCAGCTCACTAAGGCCACAATGCAGCATGGGAAGGCTGTGGAGGCTTCTGGTGACTCCTCAGAAGCAGACAGTGAGCTGGGTGTAGCCTGTCTCTACCCTAGGGTAGAATTTATTCACGCATGGTACTGAGTCTGATGTCTGATTGATTTAAAGAGCCACAAGGAAGGCCCCGTATTGGACCCTGAGACCTTATCCCTAGTAGACTGACACCACCCCTTAATCTATCTGATCTCTGGGAACACAAAATCTCAACCTGTGCCTCAGGACACTGAGAGTCATTGAGTCCCTATTGCATCTATAGAGGCTGAATGGTAGCCACTTTCAGCCTGGGGGGTTGGGGAGGATATCAGGCAGATGACTTAAACTGCAGATTGGGAGACAAGCTCCTTAGTTATCCTGAGGACACTGGCACATCCTCAGACGAGACAGAGGATGAAGCACGAGAAAGGTCATATGGTCACAGGCAGGAGGTGGGACCATAAGGTCTAAGTCAAAGATATCCAGAGTCACAAGGAGCAAAACAAGGCAGCAAGCATCTGGCCTTGCCATGGCTTAATCTCACTCTTCTGCCCTTAGACCTGCAAAGGGATGACCGCCTGATCTGGACGCTGGTTTGTGGTGCTCGGGTTTCCAAGCTGCAGTTTCAGGCTTCAGGACAGTGTCTGCATTTCCAGCAGAAATAGGACAGAGTGGCATTCAAAGCTGCAGGAAGGGCTCCTAAACTGGCTGTAGAAGCCACGGCTACCACCAGAGTCTTCAGCCTCTGGCAGTGGCTCCACAGGCTTGTGCACGGGGGCAACTGGATGGAGAGCTGAGAAGGGCTCCCTCGAGGCAGGCCTGAGTCACATCAATGTCCAGATGCCCCACCCCTACCCTCCTCTGCCTATTCTGTCACCCTGTCCCATCTCCTATGAACCTGGACCAGTGGGGACACTGGAACATACAAGCCAACAGCTAACTATCAGCACAGTCCTATGTGAAGAACAGGCAGCATGATGGTGGGCAAGGCCCTTCTGAGTGTGTGTGTGTGTGTGTGTGTGTGTGTGTGTGTGTGTGCCCAGCTTAGCAGTTCCACAGGAAACAGGACAAAAGCCCAGACGTCTCTAGAGAGACTTGAAGGGCCAGGAGGATAAGAAGACCAAGTTACAGGCAGGTGAGCCAGGAAGGCTTGGTGCCCAGAAGCAGCTCTAAGAGTACTGAGCACAGAAGGCTGGCCCAGCCTTGGCTACAGCATAGAAAATAGACTCAGGATAGTGACGGCACAGCTCGAACACTCCTGCCCCATTAAGGGACACCTTGGGCCTGGGAGCACAGGAAGAAGCAGCCTCAGTACCATCTCTCTGAACCTGCCCGTCTTCCAGGCAGGAGCCACAGGACGGTCGCTAGGTTGGCAGCACAGTGAGGACCAGCGGATGGCTCCTGGGATGCAGTGGCAAGAGGATGCCTGGGGAGGGCTTTCAGGGATACGGCTGGGACCAGGGTCTTTCCTAGATGGACGAGGCTAAGAAGCCCATTGGACATTGAATGGCCATGTGGGCAGGCAGCTGGAAGGCGTCTAAAGATGTAAAAATAACCATGGAGTTGTCATGAGCTCACAGAGGCCTTCACAGCCAGAGCCCAGGGCCATGCAGAGGGCAGGAGGGACAGGCAGAGATGAAGCTCTGCGTGGAGAGACACGCCACCAGGAAGACTGAGTGACCAGGCCTGGAGGCTACAGGACACAGGGAGGGCGGAGCTGGGAGGCAGTAGAGTGGAGTAGCAGTGGCTGCGGGTGGCTCTAGCCCTGGAGGTCACAGTGACCTTGGGGCAGCACCCCAGAAGTGCTGTGCATAGGAGCAAGCAGCAATTTGGGATCACCATGAGCCTGGGGATGCTTGGGGGCAAGATGTGAGGCCCCAGGCCTGAAGTTTATCTTAGGAAAGATTCCATGTCCACTGTGCCACATGGGTGAGAGAGTCTCACAGACATGGGCGTCCCCAAGAGTGTGTACAGCACAGAGCAGCCAGTGCTCAGGGCTGAGGCCCAGCCCCACCTTCTGTCCTCCCAGTCACCCTCCAGGCAGCTGTGGGAGTGGCCAGGCAGGGACCAGTCTAGAGCATCCTACTAAGGACAAAGATACCTAGGGAAGATGTGGCTCTCTGGGTCACACAGCACAAGAGTTGAACCAAACCTTGAAACTAGGTATTCCAATTCCCTGTGATGTTCCCATGAAGAGAGGGGTCTGCCTGTTATACTGCCCTGTCCCCAGCCTTGTACTGAGGTGTTGCCCCATCCCTTTGGGAAGAAGGCAGAGGTCTGTCTAACCCAAAGGCAGAGGTGCCAACTCAGGGAGGGACTGGGTCACCACCAAAGGATCTCAGTCTTACTGAAAGACATCTGCCATTATCAGAGCTACCAACTTCAAAGTTAGGGTTTTCTAAGCAGAGTACTGGCTGGCATAGGACTCCATCTTCAAGGCTCCCCGTTCTTATGTATGGGCTGGAGGCCTCTGCTGTCACCACGAGCCTGTGGGTGGGATATTCCCCTGCAGGTAGAGTTCACTGAGCCTCTCTGGGTCAGCCACACCCTAGCTGTCCGAGGACAGTGCTGAGCTAGGGACCGCGAGCTTTCAGGAATGGAGAGCAAGGTCCTGGAGAGAGACGGGGCATGAAACCTCCCCACCATATGTCTGGACCTTGGCTTCTCTGCCAGGTCCAGGACTTGGATCCCCCCGGTAGCTTTCCCAAGCTAGGTGAAGTCCCTGACGCAGCCCACATGGGAAGCAACAGATTAGCGCCCTGTGAGGATGCTGTCCAGCTGTCTATAACCACGGCTGGGGACCCTCCATGGGCTGTCTGGAGCACCCCATCAGGAGACCACACCACTGAGAAAGAAGACAGGCTGAGACTTGAAGTTCTGGTCTCAGCCGCTGGCCAGGACAGAACCCTGAGCACCCCCTTCCTGAAGGTCCTGCCCCATGGGAGAACCAGAGGCACATCCTTCACTCCCAGATCCCACAGGGACAGGCTTGGTAGGAAGAACTTCATACCAGCTAGCCCTCAGGGACACCGTGTCCCAGTGGATGTGCTGGGAGCTACAACTCTTATTCTCTTGCTTAACCACTTCCTTCCATGAGCTCATACTGCCCACCAGAGCCCTAGCACTGTGAAACACACCTCTGATCAAATGTTTTCCCCTCTTCTGCCAGCTAAACCATTCCTACAGGACAGCTACCAGTGTTGGCAGTACCTAGAGGAGTGAGGGCATGTTGGCCAAGAAATCTTTGCTCCCCAGCCTCCTGGTCCCTCTCAAACACCTCCCATGAACCTCCACAACGGAAGTCACAATTTAAAAGCCAAGGATCCCTTGTTCTCAAGGCAAGAGAACAGGGCCTTTCTCTCCCTTCCAAATCAGATCAATGGCGTTCAGACCACAGGTCCTCAAGGATGTAGGTGCCGGTCTCCATCTAGAGGGAGGGCTGGGGTGGGGCAGGGAAGAGCCAGTCTCCAGTGGGACAAGATGGGGAGATGGGAGTAGAAAGTCACAGTGAGGTGGCTACAGGCTCAGGTAGCTAAGGAAGAGGTCACGCAAAGTCCAAGAGGCAGTGGGACAGAAAGCAGACTCAGGACGGACAGGCCTAGAGAGGCAGGGCCACACCTCCCACTCTTGGTCACCCTCCAGTCACCTCCCACCCCTAACAAATTCCAGCCCAACTTCAGAGCCTCCTCTGGGGACAGCATTAATTCATGTTCCTTTGCCAGTCCCTCCCCTGGGGCTTCTAGTCTGCTCCCTGCCTGGCACACGGGAAGCTCTTGGATCCCAACAGTCAGTGAACACAACTCAGGATGCTCTTTGGGGTAGCATCTATCCCAGGAGTTTTCCCTATAACCCCTCACCAGCTATTCCAGTGCTCTTTGCACATGGGTCAGTCCATCATGGTTCCGCTCTCTGGCCACAGGTCATCAAAGCCTCTTACCCGTCCTGTCTCCCTCCCTCCCCTGTGACCTTTACCTCTCTACAGATCCACACCCCCAAGCCTGGCAGTCTCCAGGGCCCCTTCCTCTACCCACTCTCCAGTCTTCCTCTTCCAAGAATTCCAAGGACGAGGACCCCCCAGGCTCTGAGCCACAGAGTGTCCAGGCTTGAAGGACTGATGAAGACACCAACAATTTGTGGAGGCCAGCTGAGGCCAAGGCGAGAAGAGGCTGACCACAAAAGCAGCTAGTACATCGCGCCACCCCCACCTGGGAGCTAACAGACTCCCAGCATCCTGGAAGTCACTCTGGCTGCCTGCACATGTGTGAGACTGCCACACACACACACACACACACACACACACACACACACACGCCCCCACCCAACTTCCCTTACAGACCCCTTGCCTGGGCCAGCTCCAAGGCACCTGTCTCCTGAAACAGCTGCAGTTCCAGGCTGAAGCTGCCGAATTGCCCTGGCTCCTTGCTGGCCCTCCCTATACAGAGGCCACAGACCCTGGTACCAGTCTCTCTTCCCAGAAGTGTGTCTCTCCCAAACAAATTAGAAGTCAATTTTCTGGGACACAAAAGTAGGACTCTTTCTACTCTTGCCCTACCTGAGATGGTGGGATTGGGGAAGGGTAGCACTGCCTGGAATGCAACTTGGGAAAATGCAAGTATTTTCATCATGGGGACACCTATGTCCCATGACACAATATGAGGTCTGCCCGGTGCTTCACGGGGAGGCGCAGTCCCTCTGGGTCTCTGCTGGTCCAGGAAAGGGATTGGCCCACTCAGGAGCTGGAACCCCCTAACTCCACTAAATTGGGGCTGTGTTGCGGGTGTCCAGATCCCAGGGTCCCGGCGCCGAAACGGCTGCGACTCTCCGGTTACCGCCGCGGGGCCAGGTTCCAGCGGCTCCCCCGCGGCTATTTCGGGCGAGCTGGCACCTCGGCCACGCGCAGCAGGGCCCGCAGGGTCCCGCCGGCTCGCCGCAACCCGCCCCCCGCCGGCCCAGCCGCTCACCTGCCACCGGCGATGGCTTGCGCAGCACCAGCCACCTATTCTTCCACTGCGGAGACAGGACAGCGTGAGAGGCCGCCCGTGCGCGCCTGCCCCGCGCCCCCGCCCCCACCCGTGCGCCCCCGCCCTGCGCCCCCGCGGCGCCCCAACCTTCTTGCCGTCCCGCAGCTTGACCTGGCCCTCCACCAGCGCTGCCTCGGTCATCTTCTGTCATGGTTCCCGCCGCCCGCCGCGCCCTCTCCACGCGCCCGGGAGCCCAAGCCCAGGGTCACTTTCAAAATAGCTCCGGGACGGCCCAGGGCTGCGCCAGGAGGGCGGGCCCGGCGGCGTGGCGGGCGGGGCACAGCGACGACACCGGGACCTGGGTGCGGGGGAGACTGGGCGGGGTGCCCCGGGGCCACAATCTTTAAGACCCTGACAAAGTGCAAGCCAAAAATGGCAGTGGGCTTGGGCAGCCTCTGCACCCAACCCTCTGCACCCAACTGGCTGCCAGCCGGCACTGCTCCTGCCAGGCCTCCGGACCACTACTCAAGACCACTTGAAGCAGCCTCTCAGGGAAAGAAACTCAGCCTAGCGGGGGATGGAAGTTGGGACAGTAGCAGTTTCCCAAAGAGAAGGTAACTGTCCCAAGACAGCCCCCCCCCCAAGGCTTTGTGACCATGTGTCTGCCTGCTCAGTCTCTTTTAGTTTGGCTTCAATGGCTTCATCCTTTGCACCTGCCCTTCCCCCACCTCATGGAGCCCTTGATGACAGACCAACAACAGCCCTGGCTGAGGCCATTCCCCAGCCCCTAGGTCTTCTCCACCACCAGAGGTAGCCATTCTCTGGGCAGATATAGAGGAGGTGGGTGCATCCACTCTTTAGGTCTGGCAGAACAGACCTCTGTGCAGGTGGCTGCCAGGACCGGGGTCACTGTGTCACCTCATTGCCCCATGTCTCCCTGGCTGGTCTCTCCCCTTCTGAAAGCCAGCTTGCACCAGTCTTGAAGCATGGAGGGCCTAGGTGGTTGTGCTGCTTGACAACAGCCTTGCCTAGTAGCCCCCTGCCCAGCCAACTGGCCTCTGAGCCCCTGAATTTCTGCTCCTCAGCCTGTTGCTCAGGCTAGGGTCAATTAAGGTTTCTATGAGCTTTCTATGGCCATCCTAAGTTACTGTGGAGGTTAAGTGCTTTGTCAGCCTATGTCATGGGTTCCCCAGATGTAAGTTCACCTTAAGACCCATGTCCTAGGAGCACCTCAGAAGAGAGCAGTTACAGTTGGGAACTGACTGCCCGCAACAAGATCAACTCAGACACGCAATGAAGCCCTGTGTGTTTGCCCGTTCCAGTTCCCAACCCCAAGGAGCTGTAGTCCAGCTAGAAAGGGGTTAAAGGCCAAACTATATTCCACTCGTGCACGCGGTATGCATTAGTCTTCATCCCGCACAGATTCCTATCTGCTCCATAGAGAGAAGCTGAGGGTCAGAGTAGTGTGAGGACTCACGGCCACATGCAATGACCCCAGAGCAGTAGTTGACTTGGGAGCCCTTGCTGCATTCCCTCTAGGGAATCTGGAGGACAAACCGCAAGTGGACCATACAGCTGATTTGAATGTTTTCCTCATGTCTTGCTGTGGCCTGATGCAGGGAGGGAGGATGCCTTGCCGTCCATCACACATGCAACACCCCAGGGCCTTCCGCAGAGCAGTTGCTGGCCACAGAGCCCCATTCATACTCCCCACACGTCGAAAGCCCCTGGGGACTGGCTCTGACAGCCGGTATGGAGTCAGTTGGGGGTTGTAGCTATGGCCACATCCTCCAGCCCAGAAGCCTGGCACTTGCGCTTCCCTGCAGGGAGGGGCCACATCCTGCCGCATTCCAAGCGCTGGCCTTGGCCCAAACCCCAGCCACGCCTGGCAGCTGCACCTGCTCCCACACTGGCCCCGGAAATGCGGGCGCCATGGGGATAGACAGCTTCCTTCTCCCACTCCACATGACCCAGGGGACAGTATTGTGGTCACCAGGCCTGCTGACAGGTAGGAAGAACTATCTGCCCAGTAGAGGAGGAGGTGGTCTGGCCAAGAATTCTGAGTCAATGACCCTCTCTGTGCCTCGGATTCCCCAGATGTTATAGCCAGAGTGTAACAGGGTATAGCATGATGAAACTATCTCTGGCCACTGAAGGATGGCCAGCTGACCAAAAGGATGACAAGCCTCTTGAAGAATAAGGGTGACATCTGGGAAGAGCGGGATGACAGGAAGGCAGTCACGTGTAAGGCAGGATGACACTCAACCCCACACCCCTGCCTGGCACCACTGCACACTAGATACCGCAGGACTTTAAGGACGCTTACAGCTGTGGTCATAGCTTCACCCCTGTCTGAGTTCCCATCCACAGTGCTGCAGCTAAACTGCCAGGGCCACGCCCCATGACCTCGCGAGGCCGCTGTTTCATCAGTGGCTCTGCAGCCAGACCTCTGTGAGATACTGTACTTGCCACTTGCCAGGCAAGACCATGCGCATCATCGTGTGGCCTGAGCTTCCTGTTGCAACCTGGGTTTTGTTACCATTGCCAGGGGTGACTTCATATGCAAGAGGCTCTCAAATGATCAGTTACACACACAGGAGGCTGGGACCAGGTGGCCTGCTGGCTTGGCATCTCTAGGTGACAGGAAATGCTGCACAGACACACGCTTACAGGCTATGGCAGGCACCAAGCCCCATGTCCACCTCCACTGGGTGAACAGTACAGATGGCTCCAAGCAGTGGAAAGTGGCGGCCACGTCTGAGCCCAGCATTAGATGCACTATGCTACCATGCAAACATTTGTCACTAGTCACATGATAAGAGGAAGGGTATTATGGACTGGATATCCCCCCATCCCCAGCTCCTCCATCATTTGCTGACAGTCTCACGTCCATGTGACCATGGAGCCTCTAAGAGGGTATTTAAGGTAAATGAGATCATACATGGGGACCATAATCTGATAGGACAGGTGTCCTTATAGAATGACAAAGAGATCCCAAAGAGTGCTTTCTCCTCTGTGCACAGGACAAGTCACAGAAGGATACAGCAAAGAGGCAGCTGTCTACACACTGGAAGGAATTGGGAGCTGAATTTGATGGCCCTTGATTATGGACTTCCAGCCTCTTAAACCATCTGTCTGTCTATCTATCTATCTATCTATCTATCTATCTATCTATCTATCTATTTATCTTTTTTTTTTGAAACAAACTTAGTGTGCTGCAAAGAAAATAGGCATGGCAGTAACAGAAAAGGAAGAGCTGCCTGCTTGGATGTCTGCTCTTTTATGTGCTACTCTGTCAGGACAACTGCTGTCCTTGAGACCTGGAGTGGCTCCCCAGGATCAAAGCCTTGGTCCCGTCTCCTATTGCTATTGGGAAATAGTGGGACCTTTAAGAGGAGGGGCCTGAGAAGGGCCTTCAGGGCCTGACAGGGCACACCAAGAGGGCACCAGCAGGACCCCAGGTTATTCCCCTTTCTCTTTAGTGTCCTAGTCTTCAAGCAGTGGACTGCTTTGCTGCATGCTTCTGCTGCAAGCTCAAGGGAAATGAGGCCAAGCGTGGGCTAAGCTTCAAAACTGAGCCCAAGACCTTTCTTTCTCTATAAGCTGAGTTCAGATCATTAATGACAGCCTTTGAGTGAGAGCAATAGAGAAAACCAACGCCAGGGGCAGCAGAGTAAGAAAACAGCTGTGCTGGGGTTGGAGCATGCTCCCCTATGGTCACCCTTTAGGAATGTAATACTCAAATTCCTGAGTTAATAGCGTTTGGAGTGGTAGGGCGGGGCTAATTAGGATTAGTGTGATCATGGGAACAGGACTCCTTGGTGGACTTAGTGGCTTTACAAGAAGAGGAGGGGCTCTATCCCACCCTGTGATGTCCTACGCCACATTCCACTGCAGCATAAGGCCTCAGCAGAGACCCACCAGAAGCCAGAGCCACACGCCGGGACTTCCAGCCTCCAGAACTGTGAGCCAAGTGACCTCTTCATAAATTATCCCGTCTCACTTATTCCACTACAGCAACACAAAATGACCTCAGAACCCTGCAAACAACTCCTTCCTTATACTTACACCCCTTAAAACATGGCCATGCGTCCCTCTCACTAAGAGATGGACGTCTATTCCACTCTCAAAGTCAGGCTTACTTTGACTAAAGGAAAACAGAGGAAAGCTCACATCCACGTCCCCTTTTGTAGTATTGTCTCTGTCATGTGAACAAGTCCAAGACAACTTGCCGAGTGATGAGATTCAGTGTCCTCCCACCCTGAGCTCTAGCCGATAGCCATCCGTTCTTAATAACCCACTGATAAGTCCATAGCCTACACCCTGGAGACCCCAGGTCAGCACAGAGAACTCACCCTGCAGAGCTTAGCCCAGGTATCAACCCTAAGAACTGTGAACTAAATAAACAGAGTGGCTTCTTGCCACTGAGTTCTGAATTCACGTGTGGTATAGAAAAGGCTTTCTGAAGTAATCGGTTATCAGTGGAGGACACCAAGATGGGTGGATCGCCAGGAAACTGGAGAGATGAAACCCAAATCCCTGAATCACTGTGGGAACTCTATGGGAACATAAGCCGGCCACATAGAAGCAGGAGGCGATGATCTCACCTCCACATGTATGCCTAGTGCTTCATACCAAGATCAGACAGCTTAGAATGCATCAGGGCAGGGCGTAACCCACGAAACATTAAAAGTCGTGGCAGACTGCTCAATGGGAGCAATGAAAGACAGAAGCCAGTGGTAGGGCTTCCAAATGACAGAGAGTAACTTCAGATTCAGAGAGTAACAATTGCAACTCGGTGGTAAAAAGAATCCCATTGCCATGGCCAAATGGGTCCCTCAAAGTCCATGTGCTAGAACCTAACCCTCAAATTTCCATGATTCTGACATCTGGAGGTAGAAGGTAATTGGAGATAAATTAGGTCACAAGGATGGGGCTCTTTAATGAGATTAGTGCTCTATAAGAAGAAGGGAGACCTGAGTCAGCAGGTTGCTCTGCCTTCCCTTGTGATGTCCTGCTCCATGCTACAATGTAGTGCAAGGCCCCAGCAGATGCCAGCACCACAGACTTGCACTCACAACCTCTGGTCTTTGTAATTTAGCTAGTGTCATCATTAACCTCAGCTGTTACGTCAGCTAGGAAGAGGGAACCTCAACCGAAGAACTACCCAGATTAGACTGGTGTGTGACCATGCCTTGAGGCATTTTCATAACTACTAATTGATACAGGAGGCCCCAGGGCAACATGGGCGGTGCCAACCCTAGGCAGATGAGTC